TCGTCACCAGAGAGCGACTGGTCTACCTTTACGCTGAGACAAACGGCCGAACGCGGGGAATCGAAACCGGCCTCTTAGTCTTAACTCTAACCTTAAGTCTAACGGGCTGTGCCGTGGAACAGTTGAGAATGATGTTGTTTCTAGACATGAAATCCCATCCTAAAACTAAATTGTGAGCTAAGTCGTGCACAACTGTAAACTCAGTCTCACGACCCTCCTTATCACTATCTGTACAGTCTGTCTTAAAAGTACCGCGCAAAGTGACGGTGGATCCATCGAGCCTGACCGAGGAAGGGCCTGCTAAATTTGGGTCACCGAAGCAATTGACATCCTCGTCCATTCCCTAGGCTATGTTGGTCGGTGACTTTCAAATTAAAGCAGGCCCCTTCTCGGTCAGGCTTGATGGATACACCGTCACTTTGCACGGTACTTTTAAGACAGACTGTACACACGGTCAGTTTACAAATACCGATTGCATTCAACTGGTGTCCACTTGCAGACACTAAGCGGGCAGGCGGCATCAGGTCCACGTTCGGAGCAATAACGCTGCACACTCGGCTATCAATCAAACACAACTGACTTCCCGAGTCCAGCAGCGCATCACTGACCGTAAACCCATTGATGTTTACCTGTGTGGTTGGGAGCTTTAGTACTCCGCTGCCGACCTGCCCCGCTGCTCTTTTGGGCAAACCGCTTTCAGATGCCCGTATCCTCTGCAGCTCCAGCATTGGGGCTGCCGGCGCGTCCGCTGCGGCGGCGGCGAACAGCGGTCACGTGGTTCCGCCCGCGGAGACGGCGGGTCACCGCGGTCACCCGATCCGGACCAGCGCCGCGGGGAGGGCGAGCGGCCCCGTCCGCCACGCGAGCGCTCCTCGCCGCCCGGCGAACTCCGTCCAGGCGGCCGGCCGCCGTCCGCCGAGCCCCGCCTCCTCCGCCAGCCGCCATCGGCGCCGGCCACCCCAGCTGCGCTGTCGGCGCCGGCCACCCCAGCTGCGCTGTCGGCGTAGTAGTCCTCGATGTCGTTGTCGTATCCTCCGTAGTAGTCCTCGATGTTGGTGTCGTATCCTCCGTAGTAGTCCTCGATGTCGGTGTCGTATCCTCCGTAGTAGTCCTCGATGTCGGTGTCGTATCCTCCGTAGTAGTCCTCGATGTCGGTGTCGTATCCTCCGTAGTAGTCCTCGATGTCGGTGTCGTATCCTCCGTAGTAGTCCTCGATGTCGGTGTCGTATCCTCCGTAGTAGTCCTCGATGTCGGTGTCGTATCCTCCGTAGTAGTCCTCGATGTCGGTGTCGTATCCTCCGTAGTAGTCCTCGATGTTGGTGTCGTATCCTCCGTAGTAGTCCTCGATGTCGGTGTCGTATCCTCCGTAGTAGTCCTCGATGTCGGTGTCGTATCCTCCGTAGTAGTCCTCGATGTCGGTGTCGTATCCTCCGTACGACGGCGGGTCTCGGTACGCCCGCCGGCCGCCAGCAGCCGACTCAAACCTCGGCGGCGATGATCGTGGACGCCAGCGCCGGTCGGCGCGCTCCTCGACGCGCCTCGGTCCCGAACCAGCTGGGCCAGCCTTCTCAGCCACCGGATCCGCCCGACGGACTTCCAGTGACTCCTCCAATGGACGCCGGAATTCGGCACTCGTCAGCGCCACTGCCTCTTCTCTCAGGAGCTTCTCGACGGCCCCCTCAAACGTGGTGGCACCCTGTCGAGACAGCAGCAGACGCTCAGACTCTGACAAACCGATCAGAAAGTGCCGGTAGAGAGCGGCCTCATACGCCGGTACACAAATCTTCTTCACCCGCCCGGCTGAATCGAGTATTTCTGGACATGCGCCGGCTACCAGAGACCGTATCCTCACGGAGTACTCGGACACCGGCATCCCGCGCTTCCTGAACGTGCTCAACTGGGCGGCTGCCGCCTGCGGTCGCTGTGCCGCACCGAAGGTGTCCTGCAGTACCGCTGAGACGTCACCCTGGTCGCATCTAGTCTCTATAGCCCGCAGAGCCAGACCACGGCAGCGTGCAGCCATGATCGTGGCGAGCTGCTGGCCATCAACGCGACCCAGTGCACTGTGCAGCCACACGGCGACACTGCTTAATGAATGTCTCCGGGTCGCCACTTCCGTCATATTCCGGGAAATCACTCAGAGAGACGCTAACCGGCACAAACGTTTCGACTGGTCGATGTTCTCCCCCATCTCCGCCCGAGTCAGTGTCCTTGGTTGGCGGCGGTATGGCAGGAGCTTAGACCACAGAGCTGTGATCACTCGTCCGATCACACACTAATCGTCGCTGGCGTGCAGCCCGACCACCGCTGCCACCATGTCACGGCCCCTGGCCGTCGCCAGCTCACACACGCGTTCACCTCGGTCGCTGTATTCCAACTGCCCGCAAAGGTCAGCCACCGGCCGGCGCACCTGACCGGCCAAGGTTACATCAGTGACGTCACCATAGCAGGGGCGCCCCGATGCCCCTGACACTGCGTGTGCTGATTGGTCGGCCGCCGACCGTGTGGTGAAGCGATGTCGGGCGGGGTCGCGCCGGCGGAGGGCAGTCGCGCAACGGTCCTTGCTGCGGCTGGGTCTGTTGGGCTCTGGAATCTATATCCGTTGACTGGGCGTTGGCAGGCTTGTCTGTAGGCAGTCTGTCGGCGTTCTATGCGGCCCATATGGATTCGAGACTAAGTTGGAGGCTATGTCTGTGGACTAACCTCCAATCCACACCCTTTTTGTTTTGCCCGACCACCAAAATCACAGCACCATTAGTTCGGTAGTTTTAAAACGTGACTGTCTGTGGACTGATCGTCTGCTTCATTAATGGCGCTGTCTAAAATTAACTTAAGCGCCGCGCTACGGGCGCTCGTACTACGGCTGTGAGCCTATTCAGGGGCGGTAAGGGGCAGAGTCGGCGCTGTGGCCGTTCTCCGTCGATTACGATTGGTCGCTCTTAAAGTCGAGTCCCTCATAGTCGTGGTTGTTGCCGAGTGTTTGTCTGGTTGGTCTGGGATTTTGTTGGCCAAAAATACATCCGCCTGGTGTATTTATACTTTCTTTTAACTTGAAATCGTAACAATAGGCCTTACAGGCTCTTTCGTATGCAGGCACCTTTCTTTCACACGGTGACCCACTATTGGCATCAGATGCGCCCCTATAGACCTCACAGGCGCCCCTAGTTCCCATTGAGGCGCCCCTTTGGGCTTCACAGGAGCTCCTCTTTCTATGGGTCTCGGAGGCGCCCCTATTTGGCATGCAGTCTCCCCTCTTTCGTATTGAGGCGCCATAGTATGGCCTTAATGGGCGCCCCTTTTGCATGTGGGCGCCCCTATACTATAGTCCTCAGAGGCACCCCGAAGGGCCTCCGAGGCCAATAAGGTGCCCCTCTTTCGCATGCAGACGCCCCTATGACCATCTCAGGCCATAGGGGCCATGTTTTGCATTGAGGCGCTCCTGAGGACTTCATGGGCGCCCGCCCCTCTTTCGCATATAGGCGTCCCCATGGCCTCAGAGGCTCCCCTCTCACGCATCCCATTTTCATAGGCGATGGCGCCCCCTTGCAAGATGGCGCTCCTATGACGCCGCTGGCCCGTGAGGGCGCCTTTCGGGCCTAGGGGCGCCCACCAAGGTTGGGGGGGGGGGGGGGGGCAAACGGAATGTTGGGGTGGCAATATTTCAAGTTGGGAGGGGGCACCTGCCCCCCCCCCCAAAAGTATACGAAATTACGCCCCTGACGACAAGTGCTCTAAATTTTGATATTTTGTTAAGAGAACCATATTGACAAAAAATTGGCGCTTAAGCTGAAATATCCTTTGCCAAAATGTCAAGCTACTTGGACAAAAAACTGAAGAAATTATCGCCAAAAACAGGGTCTCGGGTCTAAATTCTGAAATGCATAGTAGGTAAGTGGGACTTAAAAGTCATTAATAAATGATGGAACTATTGGCCTAAATGTATTTTCTTTTTTCTCATGTTCGCAGACAAATGAGGCCGCAGAGCTGATGATGGTGCAATGCCGAAAGCTTTTAAAAAGTTGCTTTCTTTTGAGCTCGGACTTTGTATTTAGAAGGATTGGGTGAAAAGTTAGTATTCAGTTAGGGGAGAGTGGCCATATTGCGCCACGTTAAGCGAAACTGGCTTCAGCTTGGAATACAAAGACAGCACAGGTTAGTTGTTCTCACATTATATTTAGAAACCTTTTTCCTGCCTTTTTTAGAGAATAATTTATCGCATACTTCAACTCATTAGCCAGACACGGTCTTTTTAGAAAGTGTTGCAAAGGGCGCAATTGTCGAATACCTTCGATAAATGCGCCCACACCATGTCGCAATTGAATTAAAATGCGCCCACCACAAATACATGCATTAGCTATGGGCTGTAAAGATAAGAGTGATAAGTAGGTAAGGCGTTGTATGATGTGTCATTATTTCATTAATTTACCATCTGTTTTTTTTTTAAAGAAATTTTATTAGAAGTGCACAGTGACCTCAAATTGCTTGTGGTCTTGTCATCTGCCTAAGCCTTTCGAATAGTTGCCATCATTATTAATGTTACCCATTTCATTAACATTAGCCCGGGTGTGGCGCATTTACCCCGGTCGCATTTGAAAAAAAAACGTAGTGGTGTGACAAAACATGGCGTCCCTATTCACCGCAGTCACAATCTCTTGCATGGAGGTGCTCAAATCATTCAAAATTAACCATCTGTCCGAAAAATTAGCAGCACATGTGTCTAAACATTCACTAAACCTTATTCTACAGCTTTGAAGAATGCTTTTTTTTTGCTAAGAAATCCCAACATTTAAGCAAAATCGTTACTTAAGCTCATGCTGCCTTACCTCTGCCAAGGTTCCACCTGAAAAGGAAGTATGATCGAGGTGGGAAACTTTTGCAACCACCACTAGGTACTTAAGGTGTGCCAGTTTTTCTGGAGCTTGGGAGGGCGCATTTATCTCGCGGGCGCAATTAGGGTACTCTCCCCTACTATGAGTGGTGATAATGGAGCGACTACTCACGAAGAACGGTATGAGTCCTCGGGCGGTGTCGTTTTGGATGGCCTTGGCCAGCGTGTCGCCGCGCAGCGAGAACTTGGAGTCGGTCGGCAGCTGGCGCATGCGCACTCCAGCCAGCAGGCCGGCCCGCTCCGCCGAGCTATGCGCCTGGTCTGAAAACGAGACAGCTGTCGGCGGATGACGGCCGCCATCCAGCGGGGGGGGGGGGACGGTTCCCCGCTATCGGAAGTTAGGGGTACAGTACCCCCTATCGGCGAGGCCTGTTCAATAGTTGATAATAGTGCGTTGCGGAGTTATCCGTCGCATTTAACCCGCGCCCCGCTGGGGGAGGGCAGAATCTGCCCCCTCCCGTTTTTCACCAATAACTTCTAAACGCGTTACGCCAGCGACGTCAAACTTTCAGTACCTTATTATACATCAATTTGACACGTTCCCTGAAAATTTGAACGAAATCCGTCGGAAATATTTTGAGAAGTTGACGTTTTAGTGACGTCATGTTCGCCATTTTCGCCTCAAAAACGGCAGAATTTCCAACGCCGCTAACATCTTCATTTTTAAAGGAATCAAGACGTAACAAAAAAGTTTATACATGATTCTTCCTTGTCTATCAAATGGCTATCTCGGTTTTTGAAAATGTTGGATTTTGGCCCATTTTTTTTCAAAAAACTGACTTTTGGAAAAATAATTATAAAATCCAAACTTTTGAGTGTATCGAAAAAACCGGAATATATGTCAGAGAAGTGGTCTATGTGCACCTACATACCAATTTCTAGAAGAATCCGTTCAAAAATGTGGAAGATATTCAAAATTTTATGACGTCACGACACACAAAATTTTTGAAAAAGTGATTTTTTGGAAGTTCTAGACCTCGTACGGAAACAGAAATACCGCCATTCGATTCACCTTGAAAAACTGCATCAGATAGACACCTTTTTAGGCCTTAACAACCAACTTCAAAATTTGGCCTCACTTGACCTGACCTCGACCTGAAATTCATCCAGAGGTGGTCCATATCACTTATTGAGTGTGCCTATTGGATTCTATGAGTAAAATGACCCATAAAACATGTGTCGCACATGCCCTTTTCTATATTTTGTTTTTGGTGACCTAACCTGACCTGACCTGACCTTGACCTTGACCATTGAATGACATTGCATGCAACGAATATTGTCTTGGTAGTCTAAGAACACGTTTTGGGCAATCAGTCTCAGTCCATTCTTCGGCAACTACGGTGCAAGGCCGATACTGTAGAAACTTGCATTTTGAACCCTTGACCTGACCTTGACCTGACCTCTGACCTACTTAAGCAAAAAAATTGGGCTCTTAAGATCCGCCTTGTTGAGAGCTTTCGATTGCCGTTTTCCCCGTCTTTCTACGACCATCGGTTCGGAAGTTAGACAGGAGGGGGCAGAATCTGCCCCCTCCCCCAGCAGGGCGCATATGGCTGAATAGCCCAGCGGGGCGCGGGTTACCGCATTTTTGGTTAATCAAGGCAGGTTCCGAATAAAGATTAGTGCTGGGATGTATCGCAGGTGGTCTTGGCCATCTGCTAAAGGTATAGCTGTATGGAGCTGTGATGCCTGTAGTTAAGTGTTCGGCAGGCCCTCTGGGATCGTGCCCTCTCCTTTTTGGGCGCCAGGCAGGGCCATATTGGGGCATTCCACGTCAAATCGAACAAAAGTCGGCTGTTTTGCACCTTACCATCAGCGATTTCATTATAAATTTGTGAGCAAGTTACTGTGTCACTCCGGAAAAAAACATTTGGCGTTTTTTTTTTGCACATTCTGACCACAGGTCTTCTAAATATAGTGCATCAAATTTTTACATGTAGCATCTTTATATTGTTAAGCGACCATAACTTTGGTTGTACTTGATTGATTTGAATGAAATAAACCATAATAGCCGTTTTCACGACGGGCTATCGGAAAATGCACCTGATTTGACCAAATCTGCACCTAATCTCTTTTACAGCAAATATCTTCATTTTATGAATTTATTTCAGTGTTTTAACCCTCGCCCTGGCAGGGGGTCGATGCGACCCCCCTAAAGGTTTTCGAAGATAGCGTAAAAACGGCGGCGCGCAGCGCCGCAAAATTTGGCACAGCCTATGGGGCAACCTTTTTACATATTACCTGAAAATTTCAGGCCCGGGTGACCTTGGGTCAGGTCACCAGGTCAGAAAAACCGGTACAAGGTCATGGTCAAATTTCAATTTTCTTTTTGCACCTGTCCAGCTCACAGTTTTTGACTGATTTCCTTCAAACTTTCAGGGTATGCTAAGTTCACCGAGTTGTATAACATATAGTTCGGGTTTTTTGAGGTCACTGACCTGAGGTCAGTTAGAGGTCATTACGTCGTAAGGTTAAGCCTATGGGAAAATACTAAATTCGGAAAATACTGGAGATATCCGCTTCGTTATATCACTTTTGTGCTTTGAAACCATAGTACTTAACCCGCGCCCTGGTGGGGTCTGTTAATAACGCGACCTGGTGTGGGGGGGGGGGGCTATTTTTTGCCCCCCCCCCCTCGTATCTCCGAAACTACTGGACGGATCCGCAAAATTCAAACGGCGTTCGAAAGGCCTGTCAAATTCGTCGAAGGAAACCAAATTTCATTGACCTCGGGGTCACCGATGACGTCACAGGTCAGGTCAAAGATGAAATGTTTCACCGTTCACGGGTCTTCTAGGGAATGCGCTATAACACCGAGGAAAACGCATTTTGTCAAGAATCAGCGATAGGGCGTCAGTTGCCTAGTAGTTATGTTGCTATTAGAGGTCACTGACAATACCAGGTCAGGTCACAGGTCAGGTCACCAAGGGTCACAGGTCAGGTCACATGAGCCCAACTTTACTAAGGTTGTGTGATGCATGTTTTATGGCCAATTTTTCATTTCCAAATCAATGGTGTTGGTTATCAGACTATCAGGTACGGCTCAGGTCACTTTCTGGTGAATTTCAGGTCACGGTCAGGTCAAGGTCAGGCCAAAAAAGGTCAAATTTTAAAGTTGATAGTTTTGCATAAAATGGGTATTGTTTCGATGCAGCTCGTCACGGGGAGTCTAATGGTGGTCTTTGTTTTGCGCTACGGGGTCTAGAATTGCTAAAAATTGAGTTTGAAAATTTGACGTCATCAATTTTGAACAGTTTTTTTCGCTATAACTTCGCCAAAAAAGAGGTATCAATCTCAAATTTGGTATGTGGATGGAAGGCGGTAAGGACTATCACATATATTCCGGTTTTTGCGAAATTCAAAAAACTTTTTGGGTTTTTCGATTATTATATCCAAGAAAATTATTTTTTTATTTTTGGGGGTCAAAATCCAAAAATTTCAAAAATCCGAGATGGCAGTTTTGTAGCCCTGTCAATTCTACAGCTTTTATGTCTTTATCATTTTTCTGTATTTGCAAAGCTATAGGCCTGACAGCTCTTCCCGCGAAACCCTTTTTTGGGTCAAAAACGGCAGAACATGACGTCACTCTGACGTCATTTCCGGCCAACCTATCATAGCCTTTGGAAAATTTTTGGTCACAATGTGTAAAATTGATGTCCGGGAGGGTACTGCAAGTTTGGTGACGATCGGCGCAGCGGTTCTGGAGATATATCGAAAAGTCTGGAGGGGGGACAAAAAATAGCCCCCCCCACCAGGTCGCGGGTTAACAGCAGGTCACTTGGTGCTTCTTTGTTTGGTGTACTTATCCATGGGTCAGGTCAAATGAGGTCAACCGAGGTCAAATGACGTTTTTGCCAATAACTTGGCACATAATGAAGCTAGAGCTTAAAATGGTGTCATTGTGTTTCTTGTGATCAGCCGAATCGAATGATATGCAATTTGATGCAATTTGGTTAATTTGAACTTAATTAATTAATTAAAGTTCACTTAAAATTTAAGAAAAAAACTTTAAGTACACTTAAGCAAGCTAAAAAGCATACCATTCGACGCGCCTTGACGTGCTGAGTTCACTGGTGCTTTTCGTTTTGCTCTATCTTAAATAGATCAAAAGTTATAAGCGAAAAACTTTCTGTTTGTAGCGAAATTTTTACATTTTTACCCCCCCCAAACCCCCCTAACTATTGACCTAGAGCAAACAAATTTGCACAGGGGCGAGAACTCCAGGGGCCCACCTACCTACCAAATTTGGTGTTTATAGGTGCCATAGGAGCCAATCGCGAGGGGGGTCGCATCGACCCCCCCCCCTGCCAGGCCGTGTTATGAAAAATGCCCTGCCAGGGCGAGGATTAATCGATGATGCTCTCTGATAATATGACAAAGCAAGCATATAAGCAATTAGTGCAACCCTAGCTAATTGCTGCTAAGAGACACACTCAACCTGATTTGACCAAATCTGCACCTAATCTGTACCAGATGTGCACCAAATGTCTACCAGATGGCCGTCGTGAAAACGGCTATTGTTTAGGTAATTTCTTAAATATTTGTTTATAATTGCACGTGCTTAAATATATGACCTTGAAAGCTGCTTAATTCTGTTCTTAAGCACACAAATTGAAATAGAAAAAAACACGCCGCCTTCGATTTGGCTCATTTTAATATATTTAATTGCGTACCATATTCTTACCAACCTTTGACAAAATTAGAGTGGGTCATTCAGAAGTTTTGAAGAAAATGGCACATATGCAAACGTATGTTAACTAACCGAGCGTGACCTTGAAGTGACGGTGATCGGTGCTATGTTGAAAATTAGCCGTTCAGGTCTTGAACTGAATGCAAGCAATTTACCAGTTACTTCAAGGAGTCCACTAGTGCGTGCAGAGTCACATCTAGGCCCAATAATCCCATATCGTGATCTGGATTATTGATCCTCCGCCCTCTCCGCGGCCGCCGAGAGGGGGCGCGAGTGCAAACCCCATCGCTCGACGGCTTTTTGCGATTACTCGGTATGCGCTGATCACGGAAAAGTAAAATCTGTTATGCTTCTGCTTGGCCTTTGATTTAAGCTGCATCTATTACACCAATTGTTTTTTCAGGTCAGGTCAGGTCACTGAACTATGACGTCATAAGTAAACCTCTGTATGGTCGTAAAATATCGCAGTCACAATGTCTTTAGTGACAGAAGATATTTCACAAGAAGATGAAACTTATAGGATTGAGTGATCTTCTGAGCCATCAAAACTTGCACATCTCGGATTTTTCGA